CCTTTGCCCTTCCATGAAGGCATTCCTTTGAAAGAATCCTTACCTTTCATTCCTTTCTTGCCCTTTTTGCCTTTTCCTTTGCCTTTTCCCCAGAAAGCTGTGTCTTGCTGGTCATCTTCCCATGCTGCATAACCTTTTCCTTTTGACCTCGGGCGGAAGCCGGGTCTTGATCTTTTTCCTCCTTTCTTTCCACAACCTTTTGGTTTACCTTTCTTGAAGGACCGGCCGTAGATACGGCGCTTAGAGTATGAACCCTTAGCGCTTAGAACCCAGAACTCGTTCTCTGTATACAGATCTGTGAAACCTTCTTCACCCGTCTCTTCATCCAAGACCCAGAATCCGTATTTACCCTCTTCGGTCTCGCCTTCCTCCAGGACGTAGAAAGTGGACCGCTTGCGGTGCGTGATGTTTGGGTCTGCAACACCTGTGCGGGAAACGGCAAAAAGTTCTAAGAACAGCTGTTTCACTGGGAGATAAGTATACTGAGGCATTGCTATCTGACGGATGTTCATGGACGAGACAAAACGCTCTCGTTGTTGCTCGTTGAGGTCTGCTTGGACTAAGAAAATCAGTGACATCAAATTGTCTGACAATGGAAACTGTCCGGCATGTCTGGTCCTTCTATTTGTGATGGTTTGTTCTCGAAGTTCCTGTTGATATGCTAGTTTATCTTCATCTGCTGCTATTTGATTGTAGTGCAGTCTTTGCTCATCGGTGAGTGCTGCCGTAAATGCCTGAGTGCCTGCTTCCGGGAGATCGGATAAGTCTAGCAGGTCGGACCAAGAAGCCAACAAACGCTTCTGAGCGATTTCGAAACGCCCAATCCAGTGCACGAATTCACTCTGGCCTCGATATGTGCGAAACATTTGGAGGAATCGCCAAAGGAAAACATGATTTACTCCCTTCACGAAGTAGGGTCTCAATGTGTCCTTGAAATGAGCGAGGCCACGATCCGGATCTCGGAGTAGAGCATTATCGAGCATCGACTTATAAAAAGAAGCGGAACCAATGAGGGCATTCTTTAATGATGGTCCGTGCTTATCTGCGTCCAATGTTGCAATCCCGAGCCAGTCATCAAGTACATCTTCATATTCAAACCAACTAGATTGGCCATCAAATTGGGGCGGAACCTTTGGAGTCATTTTGATGCCCATCCGGTTTTCGGAATGACTAGCAGCGGCATATGCTTCAGGCTCTTCATAAGCAACCATATGGAGTTGTTCTTCATCTGAATCCATGTTGTGGATTAAGACCATGGCAGCTACTCGAATTAGACCTACAAGTTGCCTTCGCAAGTCCGATATACGGAGCGAGCGCAAAGAACAACAGTTCGGCACGCGGGATCGGAACTTGGCGAAGGCACAGGCTCCGCTACCACTTTGAGGTAGCAATCCCCGTATTGAGGGGGCCCTGGAAACTACAGTAACCCTTGTGGTCTGCTAGCGCAAGCTGCACTCTCTTTTTACTACGCGGGTATGCAGTAATCTTGAGCCACGGAGTGGCGCAGTGGAAATGATGAATTAAGTGAACATGTCATGTACTACATGCAAACTGTCATGCAAACTGTCACGCATGCATTGTGTAGACACGTCCCCAAAAGTGGTTTACAGGGTGGGGGGGCATGTTAAGGTTCCTTGTACTTCGTACATTATAGTGTGCTACGCTGCAAAGATCTGTGGGATCGTTGCTACGTTACTTGTTTCTACGCTGCTGATGGGGTGAGGTGGGGTGGGGTGGGGTGGGGGGGGCATGTCAACGTTCCTTGTACTTCGTACATTATAGTTTGCTACGCTGCAGAGATCTCTGGGATCGTTGCTACGTTACTTAATGACGGTGAAAAGCCAAAAAACGCGCCTCAAATTTTTCCAGGTGTTCAAATCATCAAATCTGCACAGCACTGTGGTGAAATCACCATTTTTGGAAACAATGTGCACGCCGATGGAGCACGGTTTCCGGTCCGGCGGGTTATTTTTGTATTTTGTTTGCTATCACCTTTTTTATCACAAGCGAAATACCAACTTAGCTATTTCTAATCCATCATGGATGCTTGTCTATGAAGTGTCCTGCAAGGAAAGTGGCATACAAGACAATAACAATAAAAGTAATGTTAATAGCAATAAGAGTCTATAAGAGGATTAATAGTAATGATGATTATTCCTATTTTATGTATGATACATGAAAATCTAGCAGTAGATGGTGTTCTCCATATGTAAATCGCGTTTTTCTCCTCTTCAGCCTGCGACCTCACTGTTTTACCATGGCTTAAACATGGCATTCGGTCCTCGGAATTCATGGCTTTTCCAGATATGGAGGTTTCCATAAATGGGGATACTCCCAATAGCTGGATGGTTTATTTCATGGTTTTTTTTATGGAGGATTCAGGGGTACCCGTTTAGGAAACCTCCATATCCCCAAAAAAAGTTCCCTTGGCAAAGCGGGGTAGTCCTGAACGGCTCAACTTTGGTAACCTGAGGTCCAGGTACCGAGATGCCAATAGGGCAATCAAATCATGACCCAAAGCATCCCAAAGTTGCCTCGGTTGATGCTCCCTAGATATTTAGGGCGATTAATGACCGGGATCGACTCTCCCTCTGTATCCCAGAGATGTTCGGTGGAGCAGCCAGATTTTTCTTTGCGCTACTAGCATGCACACATTCTGGAGCCGATCAAATATTGGTCTCAAACGGTTTATGTTCTCTCTTTTTTCAGACTTATCGAAGGAAGTTTAGAAGTCAAACTTCCGACAATATGAAGAGATGGATAAGCAGAGGTGGGAAGAGTCAGGGGAGAGAAGAGAAGAGAAGAGAAGAGAAGAGAAGAAGAAAGAAGAAAGAAGATCAGAGAAGAGAACGAGTCAGAAGACAGAAGATGCAGGTGCGCGAAAAGGTAGTTAAAATCGCGAAACACAGCGTTTTTCCAATGATTTGTGGCTCCGGAGGGTCTAAAAGTAGGCTCGCTAAAGCGGCGGCCGCGGAGCCATCTGGCCAGATGAGAGATGAAAAATTGCACGCCGCTGTGGCGCGAAGCACATTTCCAAGTCAAAATGCACAAAACACCACATGCTCGGACCACTTTTGGAAATTGAGATGTTGAAAAAGTGCACGCCGATGTGGCAAGCACATTTCGAAGTCAAAAGTGTAAAAAACTGACGGTCTCAGACCACTTTTGGAAGTTGAGATGTCAAAAAAGAGCACGCCGTTGTGGCGCGAAGCTACATTTCCAAATCAAAATGTTAAAAACACCAGGGGTTCGGACCACTTTTGGAAGTTGCGATGTCGAAAAAGTGTACGGCGTTGTGGCGCGAAGCACATTTGGAAGTCAAAAGGTTAAAAGCTGATGGTTCGGAGCACTTTTAGAAGTTGAGATGTTGGAAAAGTGCCCGACGTTGTGGCGCGAAGCACATCTCGAAGTCAGAATGCCAAAACCACTAGATGTTCGCGCCACTTTTGGACGTTGAAGCGTCGCTTTGTGGCAGGCGCAAGGGACTCTGCACCCAGCCACAAGTGAACAAAACGTGAGGGATTTTGTAGCAGTGTAGCATTTCCAAAAACGATGGCAGGCGCGGGAAATTTGAAGAGGATCTGCAAAGATTGATTTCGCGCGACAGGTGCAGTACAAGAGACATGTTCATCAGAGATGTTAGGAGGTCAGGGGGCTGATTTCCTGAGAGGGTTGCATTTTGGAGCATTAGATCGTCAGGTTTGCAAAGACAGGTGCAGCATTTTGTATGACTTGGCATCACTTTTTCGTGGCAGGCAAAGCACTTTACACTGATGGAGTGGAAACATCGCAAAACGCATTGGCACAAGGCCGTCAGCTCTGCACTTCAACTTTTCATTTTTGAACGAAGTCTCGCAGAAATGCCTCGTTTTTGATGTTGTCAAGATTGAAAATTGAGGAAGTCTCACAGAATTGCTTCGTTTTTGAAGTCGTCAAGTTCAAAAAATGAGAATGTCTCTCAGAATAGCTTCGTTTTCAAACTTGCAGAAACACAGATAGATAGATAGATAGATAGATAGATGGATAGATAGATAGATAGATGGATCAATGGGTAGATAGATGGATGGATGGATAGATAGATAGACAGATAGGTAGATAGACAGAAAGATAGATAGACAGACAGACAGATAGATACACAAATAGACAGATAGACAGATAGACAGATAGATAGATAGATAGATAGAAAGACAGACAGATAGACAGACAGACAGATAGATCGACAAATAGACAGATAGACAGATAGACAGATAGACAGATAGATAGATAGATAGAAAGACAGACCGATAGATAGATGGATAGATAGATGGATGGATAGCTAGGCAACTACAACTGCAACTACAACTACAACTACAACCACACTACACTACCACTACCAGTACAAATACAAATATCTCCGCTACAGCACACTAATTACACTACACTACAATACACTACACTGATTACATGACACAACACTAGACTACAACTACAACTACAACTACAACTACACTACACTACATTACGCAACACTACGCTACACTAATTACACTACACTACAACTGCGGCTACAAATACCACTACAACTACAACTACAACACAACCACAGCTTCAACTACACTTCAACTAAACTACAACTACAGCTAACACTACAACTACAACTACAAGTGCGCTTCAACTACACTTCAACTACAACAACTACAGCTACAACTTCAACTACGTTTCAGCTGCAACTACAACAACTACAACAACAGCAACAACAGCACCAACTACACCACAACTGCAACTACAACTACAACTTCAAGTACACGACAACTACACTACAAGTATACGTAACTACACTACAACTACAACAACCACTACACTACACCACACTAGACTGCAACTACAACTACAGGCGCAGCTACAGCTACAACTACAATTACATTGCACTTTGCTATGGGTGGGAAACAGAGACAAGAGACTTCAAGAGACGTAAACGCTTCCGGAAATAATCCGCTCCTATCCACTGCCCCACGACTCAGGAAGCTCAACCAACATCAATCTTCATCATCAGATCCTCCCGCCACACCACCAGGTGTCGATTTGGGAGATGTTGATCCTGATCATCAAACAGTTGGGTTTGTCCTTGTTGCGGGATAACCCAGAAACTTTCCATTCTTATGGGGAAAATGATGCTAGAATTTCGGGTGTCTTTAAGCATCAGTTTTTGTGAGGATCAATGTGAAAAACATGTGATTGACGAGTGAGACACAGTTCATGATCTGTTTTTGGCAGAGGAAACCACAGGAAACCGGTGGTTCGGCCTCTCGCATTTGTGGTTACCAACTGGCCGGAGGTCACGAACCCCGCATGCTCTACAGATTCTACAGTCAGAGTTTACTGATCTATATATGATCAAAGGAAGTTTTGTTCGAAAACTTTTCTCATCATGTCAACCACATAGTTAGCAAGCGAGCAGTTCGCACGTGGAAGCAGTAGAGGAGAGGAACTGTTCAGGCACGCGTGAACCCAAGGGTGAAAACACTCTGGGGCGCGAAACCGCATGTTTATTTGGTAAATGTGGCTCCAGGGGTTGCCGAAGTAGGGTCTCTGTTTCCGGCAAGAGCTCGATTTAAATTCAAGTCTTTAAAAAAATGGCATGCCTGGAGCGCTCGTGGAAGATCAGCTACACAAAATGTGCACCAGACTGCAGCGAGAGCTCGATTTTGCAAAGGAAAAACGCTAAAAATTGCCATGTTCGCAGCACCTTCGGCAGATCAGGTTGGCAAAATGCGCACGAGACGGGACTGTAGCGAGAGCTCGATTTCACGCAAAAATGAGGCAATCGAAGCAGAAGCGGATTAGCGTGGTCTTGTCCGCATTGTTGACGCTGCGCGAAGTTTGGCGAGTCGCTCCTGCTGTGTGGGTTTGCAACCAGCCGTGACAAAACCACAGGCACGGCTACGCGCAGTAAAACGAGAGTGATGCCAGGAGCAAGCGGGATTGCAGCTGGGAGGCTGCTAAACGCAGTGGAACAGCTGCGCAAAGAGAAGAATTTGGCTGCAGAAGCTACAAAAGAGTAGAAGTAGCCAGATCAGTGGCTGCTCAGAGAAGAAGTTTCTGAGAGAAGAGGTGCCTCCGCGAAGAGGTCGCTCAGTGAAGAAGCAGCCCGACAAAGAAAAGTAGCTCGCCCATCCATCCATGTATCCATCCATACATCCCTTCATCCATTGGTTCCCTGATTCGTTGCTTCATTGACTCACTAAGTCATTGTTGCATTGACTCATTGATTCATTGTGTCACTGGATCATCGGTTCATTGATTCATTGACACACCGAATCAGCGATTCATTGATCACTGATTGTTTGAGATTCACTAGATCATTGGTTCGTTGATTCACCGATTCATTGGTTCACTGGTTGGCTGATTCATTGAGTCATTGCTCTGTTGCTTCATTGACCCATTGGTTCACTGAATCGTTGATTCATCGCTTCATTGGTTCGCTCAGTTTTGCACGTATTCTTTCATGTCATTTCATTGGCATCTCAACGACCATTTGCTCATTCGCTGATGCACCTCACAACTTCAACCACTCATGGTTTCTGCATCTCTAAACCGTTCCTATAGGCCACTGATTTCTTATAACCATTTCCTATGTTCTAAGCTTCCGCCCCAAGTTTCGAGTGGAAGGTGCAAATTTAATAGAATTTAAAACACAAAGTAGCCTTGACAGAAGTGAAAAATGGGAAAGCCAAATGAATGAATGAACGAAATGAAGTGAAACGAAATGAAATGAAATGGAATGGAATGGAATGGAACGGAATGAATGAACGAACGAACGAATGAATGAATGAACGAATGGCTCCAAAAAACAATGCCAAAAAAAAACACAACGGAAAACAAAGGAAAAACATATGAACCACGGGAACATGTTTTCGTGTTTCTCTCTGGTCAATTTCTTCTGTTTTTTGTTTCCCAATTTTCCAATCTAAACGGTCAAAACGCGTCTTAATGATAGCCAGTGTAATAGTCATCAAAGATTGTTTTGTTGGTTGTTTCAAGTTTACGACAAGCCCGGATTTTGCTGATATTCCACCTGGAACACCAAAAAAACATAAAATCGTGATTTCCGAAAAAAAACATTTAGGGGTTCTTCATGACCATATCGAAACAACCATGGCTATTACCGGTTGAAACTGGGTTTCCACACATTTCATACTTGCGGGAAGATTGCCGTGTTCACTTGGTTGAAACCTCCATGACCAGGTGCCCCACCCAAAGGTTATGGTAGAACAATTCATGTTCGAATGTGCTGCTTACATGGAAACTGCCAGTGAACAGCTGAGCGGTTTATGGATTTGTGAGTTGATAGGAGCCAGTCAAGAATACCCACAATCAACGGTCGAATCCAGAAAAAAAAATGGGTGGATTACAACGACCTCATTGTAAGATACCATGAATTTCATGGTTTTGCTGTTCCTCAAATCACTTGACCTTCGGTGAATGTGTGTTATTCAAAAAGATGTTGTATCAAAACGCGCAGCTAGCTTAGTGAACACCGAATTAGCTGGCACACCACTGGTTGCAGATGTTCATACCCCAATGGAAACCGGCTGTCTCAACATTAAGAATCGCATTCCTACCCATCATTGATCTGCATTTTCCCATAAAGATGCTTCAACATACCATTTCAAATGCGGTCTCCGAGTTCTCCATTGAGACAAGACCATGTAAAATGGCACCACCCCCGCATTATTTTGGCTAGGCTTGGACTCCCAACAAGGTGTCCAAAATGAAGCGGACCCATCGGCCGAAGACGAAGCCGTGAACGAGAGCGCGCGGGAAAGACATGCTAATGGCAGCTGCGATCCTTGTCCCCTGGCGATTGGTTTAAAGAAAATGATAGGAAATGATTTGAAACCCAAGAGCTCCAAAAATATTTGGCTGGTAAAATTCCCTTAAAATCAATCCCTTGACTGATTTTTTGGACAGCTTCCTGGCTGGTGGACGGCTGGAGAAATGGCCAATGCCACCTCACCAGAGGATCCAAATTCTTCAGGATGTTTTAATGATGTTGAATCATCCCGAAATACGAATTGATTTATGTTACGTAGTTTTGGATATTTGTCTTCACAATATAGAGATATTTGGATGTATTTGGAGTATATCACATATAATTGATGGACTAATATTATATCATTACTTGCCTAATTTGCCCAGCTTCACGGCATGTTTGATTGCTTGAAATCATGATGGGTGTTTGGGCACCATCACGGAGGATGGGATGTGATGGATGTGATGATGCGATAGAACTATTCCACGCGAAATCAGGGACTTTGAGGGATAACGGTGTTCTCTTGGAAGGTGGATGTGAGCTTGGGTTTCCATGTCGGTTTTTTGAAATCACTGCACAATGACCGATGGGTCACGCCATGGTCACATTCACGATGACTTGACCCAAGTTCCAACTGAAGTTCAGAGGGCTACGCTCATGTATGCGTATCACGGGGAAAATTCCCAATCTACCCTCTGGTAAACTAACATTGCTATTGAAAATGGCCATTTATAGTTGATTTACCAATTAAAAATTGTGGTTTTCCATGGCTGTGTTAGTTTACCAGAAGGTATACCAAGCGTGGGTTGTTTTTTCAATGGCTCAACAAGAAACTATATTTCGGCAAATTGTTCGACGACATCACCGTGACGTCGCCCGCAAATGCTGCTTAAGGAGAAATCCGCCAAACCAAAATATCCTTGTTTCAGGGTGATGAATTTATCCATGATCAAAATAGTTCATGTGCCATGAATAGTAGTCCCCATTCAATGGATAAGAATTCGATTTCCTCGTCAATTCAATGAATATTTCGACTCTCGACCAAATTTGTCCAGGTGACATGGGTATGGATCAAAACCGGTGAGTTATGAGCTACCATATTGTTGGGGGGAGTGAACACCCAAACCTACCAGCAGTTTTGGTGTTCACCCGAGGATTCCATTGGTTTTGAATAATTTGATCAGATTGGGGTGACTGTTCATTAACTATCCCAAAGGGAAGATGGGTGGCCGATCATTTCAGCTTGGTGAATGATTTTCGAATCCAGAATCTTGATTTTGCTGATACATATATCCCCATAAATCTTGAAATCGTCGCCTTCCCGTCACGGCGACGTTGACCATATCGCAGGTCTCTTCTTTGCTTCGGAAGCTGGTTGCGCAAAGGAGCGTCAGTGCTTCGGCGAAAGTCAGCTGGGCCAACCCTTAAATCTGCGATGGTCTTCGAAGATTTTTGATGCGGAAATTCATGAGGATTTTGTTGAAGAAATAACAACAACAATAGTTGAGAAAACCCACATGAAATCAACATCCTTCCAGGTTGGTATTGTCATGCTCATTTTGCCATTCGGCTACTTACATTTGGCTCAAGCACTGTGGCAAAACATCGCTGCCGCCGCTGCTTGAGGGTTCGTCTTAAATCCCCGCATCCGGCTGTGTTAGGGCGATTTAGCTGATTAACAGCCTCAGCTTACGTTCAGCTGCTTCATAACCTCGTGATTCCCAAAGCCTGAGCCCGTTTGGCAGTCACAACTCCGCCGCCTGTGGCATTAACTTCTCAGATAGGCCCATAATCGAGTTGCAAGGGTCTAGAGCTTGTTTATCCTGCAGACGTGTCAGCTAGACCAATCCAGGTCTCGCCGACTGAAGCCTGAGCACTTTCCAAGGACCGTGTTTTTTTCCCGGGCCGGGCGTTTTGCTTTTCAGCAACACCGGCCAAATCCAGCAATTTACCGACCTCCATAACCGGGTGCCCAGTACTCGCATTCGCTTGTTGAGACTAAGCACCACATATCCGAATCATCTCAGATCGTTGTGTTGGCATTGGAACGACCTAGCCAAAATTGCTTGTCCCTGAAACACACTAGCAATTTTCCTGTGCAATTGTCAAAGACCACAGTGATCTCACTCAAATTTCGAATCCAGAAGTGAAGGGAACTTGATAAGTGTATTTGTGCCGATCTCCTTGTGTATCCAAAGGATTGCATTTAGCGAGAACTCAAGTTCATCCAGTGAAATTCATATCCAATCCGAAAGGTCCGTTGGAACAGCCTGACATCGATTGTGTGTTTGGATCGAAGTCGTTAGCTACCCTTTGTTTCACCGCAACCGCGTCTCCTTGTTTCACCGCAAGGTTGCAAGGGATTCACTGCATTCATGAGAGCGGAGCCCTCCAACTATCGTCGTCGTTCAAGGTCACCAGTGAGGCCTGAAGGGGACGTTGGGGCGCGCCTGAACGAGGCCTTTGAGCAGTACTCGCGGTTGATTGCAGAAGGGCGGGCAGGTCGAAGATTTCAGAGTCCTAGGAAATCCCTCATTCTGACCATCATCGAGTACTATCTTCATCTTCTTGAGTTAGCAATCACAGCTTCGGGAGGTGCGAGAATTCTGAGACGTAAGTGGCAGTTGGTGGATATCTGCATCGCTGCTAAATTTGCGAACAAACTTCCTCTTAGGAGTGAACCAATCATTCCGGGCACTGACAGTGATCTTAGAGCGAGAACGCCGAAAGTGTTTATCCTCCACCATCAGAGGACGAGGAATTGGAGCAGGGAACTGGGGATCCAACTGATCCGAGGGCGGTACCTCCTTGGCGCAGGCCACCGGAGCCAGATCATCCGCTACCGAGAGATCTTGGGCCTTCAGCTTCAGCGTCATCAACAGCACCGGAACCTATTGCACCTTCTTCAGCAGTAACTTCAAGCGGGACACATAGCTTCATCTTGCCAAAGGCGACGGGTGGACGGCCAGTTTTTTCTCGAAGGGTTACATTTACTGGGGAATCAAATACAGGTGCAACAGTTTCTGGGGAATCCCGTGCAGCAGTTTCTGGGGAATCCCGCACAAGTGCAAAAGCAGTTGATTTGACCGCAGCTCCATCAACGCCACCAAAGGTGCCATCAAAAGTTTCGCAAGACTTGCCAAAATCGCCAATCCTGAATCCGAGACCAAAGGCCTGTACAGTTTCAAATCCAGTGCCACCGAAAGCAAAAGCAAAGGTTGCAAAAGCTACAGCCACCGCCATTGTTCTTGCAAAACCTTCATCGTCTAGCTCAGCAGAATCTTCAAGGGCAACACCGACAATTGTGCTTGACTCTAGTGTGGAAAACAGTGCAGCAGTTCCGAGGGGCATCAACATTGAATTTCAGCCATTCATTGTTCGACAAGCGCTCATCGACAGGAATTGTTCAGTCTTTACACCTCAGGGTCAATATCTCTTGCCACAAAGACAGTTGAACTTTGGTCGCAGCATCATCTCGATTGATTATCACAACGTCCTGGACAAACATAAGATTTCCAACAAAAAGGTTTTGTATCCGGTTGACGGTGATCATCCGATTCGACAGGAAAATCGACTTGCGATCCAGCGGTTGGAGGACCTTGGCCTGGCAGTGATTGTCACAAGTTTCATCCATACGGATTGGAGGAAACGAGCAGTTGTGGCATCTTGCGCTACTTTGCCGATCGATAGAATCATCATCACACAGACTGGGGACGGAACAGGTTGGGGTGGCAAGTTGGACGTGCTCCGTATCCTTTGCCCACCGTCAGAAGAGACAAGCCTAATCCACGTTGACGACAAGGCGTCCATTTGGTCTGAGCCTCGAAACGCTCGTGGTCAGTACTTTGGCACTTGTCATATCAAATATCCCGGAAAGCCGGCGTGCCCTGGTGTGAGAGTTCACAAAAACTTATCACAGGCAGTTGATCAGATCATCGAGGAGGCAAGGTCTGCTACAGAACATTTCTGTGGCCGAACATATTAGCGTACCATATCAGGTTTGTGATTTCTTGTGGTTGAATCCATTCAGTGATCATGTGTGAAACAAAATTGATCTTGATTGTCTTGATTGTTCAATCCCAAAGGCTGCAACTTGATACGCCAAAGATGGAATAAAGTTCCAATCAAAATCACAAACTCATCACATCAACAGGGCGTCTGCCGAACGGCGACACTGCTTGATCGAGGGGTGAGGTTCCAAAAAAATGCCGACAGTTTCCGAAGTCCTGTGTGACGGCCAGATGGATACATCAGGTGATGGTGAGCCTCTGCAAGTATCGACCACTAGTCCTGAGGCCCCGGCCCAACCATCCAGTTCACGGGCATTGCATGTCAAACAAGGAAACTTGAAATCTAGCAGAAGTGGGTCTAGATCCAGTGATAGCAGTTCTAGAAGCTCACTTCCACCGTTGATGGATAGGCGTCCTTCGCATGAGATAACTCATCGGGGTCCAGGAACTATGCACTTGCACGGTCAAAGATCAGTAACCCAATGCGATGATCAGAGGGTGTTGCAGATGAATCAAGATCAAAGATCAGTTCATCACCATGCTCAGCATTCTCAGGTGAACCAGGACCAAAGGTCTTTCACTCACAACCAAGATCAAAGGGTTATGCAGGTGAATGTTGGAATGTCTCCGGAACATGTGATAGAGCGTGAAGCCATCATAATGTCTCAGGCGCATGCCGCGGTCAATGAAGCTAGGTCTCAGTCTGCAAGTGAAGTAAATGCCATGAGAAGTCAGATAGAAGTTGTCCAACAACAGGTGCAAAGCCATGCACGAAATGTTGAACTTCAGGCGCAGGTATCAGTTGAAGGTGCCAACGCACGTGCACAAGCAATTGAACTCCGTGTCCATGACTTGGTTTCTGAATTGCAGACTAGGCATCAACTAGAAATCAACCATTTGCAGAATGTTGCAAACGAATCCCCACCATGAATCCCAACAAAGACTTTTAGAGGTCCAGGCTGAAAATCAAAGGTTGTTGGATAGGATTAAGGATCAAGAAAACCAATTGAAAGCACAATGGCATGAACAGAAAGAATTCCGTTCAGTGATAATGGGTTTGCAAGACCAAGTTGGATTATTGCGTTCTCAGCCGCTTGCATCACCCCAAAATGGCACGGTTGACCAATATGACCTCATGCAAGTGATGTTGCAGTTGCAGAATGATGTTCGCATGCTCCAAAACCGGTCCCCCATCCCAATTGTCGCTCAGCCTCCTGTGTTTGTTCCAATTGGTACCCCACAAGCCACATCATCAGTGATAGGTCTATCAGCATGTGCTGGATATAAACCTGTAGTCCCGTCAATATCCAAAGGGTCAGGGTCTGATGGTAAGAAGGGTGGTAAGTCATCAAAGGTGTCTTCCATAGATCCGCTTTCCTTGACAGCGCCAACAGGACCCGGTGAACCAAGTGATTCCTGGTGGAAATGGCCCGGATCCGGGATCATCACATGTCTCAGAAGGTGACTATCATGGAAACCATGGTAATGCATCAATTGGGATTGGTTCAAATATTTTGGGTTTCATGTCAGAAAAAGATGTGTATCGTTCAAAGGACCTTGCACTAGTCAAAATCGAAAATTTGCCAACCACTGCATCAGAGTTCAGAGCTTGGAAAAGCACCTTCTTGACGAAAGTTGCATCAATCGTCAAGCTGGTCGGGGTGTGATTCTTGACTAGATCATGCAAGCTTTTGTGGAGGGTAAAGATGTCTCCAACTTTGTTGACAGCGGTTTGTTGCGACGTTTGGACTCGCATCTTGGATCACTTTTCAGGACACCCGTCACTCGGCGAGGGCCCCGTGGCCGAGCATTTTTGTTCATGTTGTCTCAGCACTTTCGTCTTGATCTAAATCGTGGTAGTAATCTCACTCAACAAGCCTTGCTTGATTTGCAGTTGGATGGTTTTGCCCCAAAAGATTTTGAGAAATGTGTTGAACGCATTGAATATGTGCTCAACGCAATTCCGCAGTCACATCAGCCAACAGAGACATCTCGTTTTACTTGGTTGTACTCAAGGGTTGAGAGGTGCAAACTGCTGCAGCGCCACATTGATCGCATAAGGGACTCCCGAGAAACATCCCATTGTCGCACATGGGATTGGCTGATGAACATAATCAAAGCAGCGTTGGTCGAAGTCCGTGAGGACGCCAATGAAGAATCAATCCGTGCATCTTTGCAGTCAAAGGCAAAGCCTAAATCTGATGCAAAGGCTGTTGTTGCACAGGACACAGGTGACCCAGCGGCATCCAAAGGTTTGCCAACTCCGTCCTCAAAGCCTAAGGCAAAGCCGAAGGCATCTCCAAAGCCAAAGGCAGGGGATCATGGGGAGAACGAGGGCAAGGGTGGAAACCAGCCACAGGCTGACCCAAAGGGTAAAGGTAAAGGTAAGGGATCTGACGCTAAGAAGGATACACAGGCAAAGCCAAAGGCCGAGCCCAAGTCCGGTGGCAAAGCTACCGTTCCTTGTCTCTTCTGGCCCAAAGGGACATGCAACAGGGGGGAGAGTTGTCCGCTTCGTCATGAGCCCAAACCCAAGCCAGCAGCGAAGCCAAAGGCGGCTGCACCAGCAAATGTTAAGGCAACAGTTGCAGTTCTTGCTGCAACAGGTGGTGTTTCTAGAGCATCAGCCTTTCGTCCGAATGTGAATCAAGACCCATCAACATGTATGCAAGTCTTGAAGTCCTCCGTTCGTGCGTTTGTTCGCCCTTTCGTTGCACTCGTTTCCATCATTTCCAGCTGTATTCATCCGCAGGGGCTTGCACAAATTGCAACACTGCGTGATGGGTGGTCGGTTTTGCAATGTCTTTGTGAACCGGGTGTGTTGTATCATGACCCGCATGCATTGATCGCACAACCGAAAGCACATGCCGACTCAGGTGCTGGCCGAGATCTTGCATCACGTCGTGCTTTCAGTGACCAAGGCATTCCAAATAGTGTGATTCAAAGGCATACCCCATCAACATCACCAATCCAATTTGAAACGGGGAATGGTTCATATACAGCTGATTCATGCACATCCCTACATGGATCAACTTTTGGTCATGCCAGCTTCTGTGTCATGGAAGATTGTCCAACCGTTCGGTCTTTGGGACAAATCGTCGCAAGTGGCAAGCCTTTCATATGGTTACCAGATCAGCTTCCATTCTTGTGTCAAAATGGTGATGCACTCCAACTGGCGTTTGATTCAAAAAAAATCACACAGCATCCAGAGTTGAGGACTATGTTCCAATCTTTAGTGAAACACGCAAAACGAGTTACACTTTTGCATTGCCAGCCGAAGAGGTTGTCCCAGAGGAGGCATCCATGGTTGAAAACCCACCAAATGGTGGTGACATAGTTTCCGATGCTGATAGTGAGAACGCTGATGAAGATCCATTGCCCCGTGCTCAACGGCTTCAAGCCGAAGCAAGCTCTGTCAGACATCAAATGTGTCACGTACCCAAAAACCCTTACTGTGATACTTGTCGTCGTTCCCGAATGCACAGGCGCAAGGTGACTCAGAAACGCCATGACCCATTGGCAGATAGGGGGGATTTGGAACCGGTCACAGAGTTTGGACAGAGACTAGCTGTGGATTTTATATCATCGTGAGCAAGTCCCACAAAAGTGACAAAGAATCTGTTGTGTTGGTCATTCGTGACGAGTTTTCTGGATACATAGCTGCATATCCATGTCCCAAGAGGTCATCCGATTTTGTGGTGAAATCTTTACTTGCATTGCTTGGCCCTTCATACTATGCACATCCTGCAATCATGTGCAAAACCGATTGTGCGCCAGAGTTGCAAGCTGCATGTGTTGTACTATTAGGTTTCATCCATGAACCCACCCTTGCAAGAAGGTGGCCACACAACTCGGTGATCGAGAGGGAGATTCGCACGTTGGAAGAATTGACTTGTGCGTCTCATCTTGGAACAGGTTTCCATATTGTCAGTGACTTGTGGCCCCAGCGTGTCCAATATGCCTCAACTGTTATGAATGTTTATCAGCCCATCAAAGATGCCGATGGTAATCAACACAGACGTCATTTGCCTGCCAGTGGAAAAGAATTTGAAGGTAGACAATTGGGTTTGGGACAACTAATATATGTAAGGAAGGATCCGCTGAATCGCCACAAATTTGATGCAAGCGCTGTTCCAGCGCTCTTTGTTGGATGGAGGTACGATAGTTAGTGGCCCAAAGTCCCATAAAGGTGTGTATCTTAATTTAGGCTATTCAGCGGTTCAATCCCAATCACCAGGTTATGCAGTAGCTTTGCCAGTGCCTTGTGAGGAGCTGTACGTCCCACCAGGGGATCTAATCATCCCTTTGCAAGCTGCAGCAGAAGTTGGCGGACTTCAGCGATCCGAACCTGGCTGAATACTTTGCCAAAGAAGTTCCATTTTCAAGCCTTCCTTCAGATGCACCGCCTGCTGTTCGACCTGAGTACATAACTCTTGATCCCATAATCCGTTTTAGTGCCACCCCTGACTGCAAAGCGTGTACAGAAATGAAAGGTAGGCACAACAGCAGATGCAAGGCAAGATTTGACAGTTTGGTCAAAGCAGAAAAGTATTCAAGAACAGACAAATCTCCATCAATACCAGCTGACGGTCATGCTCCGGTAGAAGACAAAACCGAACATGTTCCTGTTGATGCCACTGTTGACGAGGCTGTTCCGGCTGAACATCCTGATGATTTGCCGTTCAGTGCTGGCATTCGACCTGGTGATCCAGAAGCGGCCATGATCAACAAAATTGCATCAACCATTGATGAGTCATTTGCCCAAGCAAGTGTCACGCGTGCCAAGTTCAGACGTATGAACACTCTTAGTGGTTTTGGGACCATTTTCGAGTTTGCTTGTTCACAAGATTCAGTCATTGGTCAGCAAGCTGAAGCAATTAGGGTGAATTGTGCTCGTTTGTGTCGCTCAACATTGGATTTGTGTAATCCTGATCATGTGCGGCAAGCCATTGGGCCGCTCGAGGCCCAGCCAGGTGCCGATGCATGGGCGTCAGTGACATGCACACATCACTCACCAATCCAAAACCTCATTTTGCACATGCATGGACAACTATATGCCAAGAAATTGCAAAAGACGCATGCAGAATCTTAAGTGTTGCTACAATATGCCATCCAATTTCTTGAGAGAACCCTTGAACTTGGTGGACGTGTCGCCTTTGAATTGAAAGCAGAAAATCAGTTGTGGAACGATCCCCAACTTCTTGCTTTTGAAGAAAGGGCAGGGTTAAAGCGGGTATATTTCAATGGGTGTGCACTAAACCTAAAGGTAAACACGGTAAGTATCTCAAGAAGCCTTGGAGTGTAACAACAAGTGATTTGAGAATGATTCAGTTCCTATTGCAGTGTCAGTGCGACGGTTCACATGAACATGAAGAGTCACTTGGAAAGAATGCCAAACAATCTGCATTCTACACTCCAGAGTTTGCCAATACAATTCTTGAAGCATGGTATCCCAAGCAATGGTATAAATATATCTCAGGTTTAAGTTCGTCATCACCTCTAGTCACAAAGAACCTTTCAAAGTCAGAATGGGAGAAAGATGACAAAGCGATCAAAGCGATCGAAAGCGAAGCAGCTGGCCTCCGCGCCAACGGGACATGGGACGACAATTCTGTGATCCCAGCGCACTTGCTGAAGCAAAAAGCAAAGGCACGAGGTGAGGAGATAAAGATCGCAGAGGTCCTGACTTTAGCTGGTATCAAGCATTCTGAATTGCCAGAAGAGTTCCATCGAAATAAAGGCCGGATAGTGTACAGAGGCGATCAGATTCGCAACCAAAGTGGCGAACATGTTTTCTTTGCAGACAACGAAACAGCAACTACACCAACTGCCATAGCTGCTCTCAATTTGACATTGTGGTTTGATCTCAGGACCATTGTATCTTGTGCAGACTGTGTGCAAGCATACCTACAGTGCAAACTATATGGAAACACATGGGTGATATTGCCTTTCGAACTTTGGCTGCCAGAGTGGAAACAAAAGTATGATCCACTGATCGACTCACAAAGCTTGCAGTGAGACTGGTCAAGTCACTTTTACGGCCACCCACAAAGTGGAAACTTGTGGCAGGCTCATCTAGAAAAGCAGCTGCTCGCAATGAATGGTGTGCCCATTGAACAGTACCCATCGAACTTTGTTTTCCGTCGTGGTCCAAATCAAGAGCATACACTCATCCTAAACATATCTGTGGATGACCTTACCCTAGCAGAGGGGACTAAGGAGATTTAAGCACAGTTTTGGGATGAATTAAAGATTAAAGTCAAAATAGACCCACCGGAATTCATAGATGAAAAGGGAACCAAAATCCTTGGGCAAAATTCAACGTGGACCAAAACAGAATGTTTTGACATATGGTGTGAGAGCTTATGCAAAAGGCATTGTGGATTTCTCATGTGAGATGACAGGGACAGTTAAGGAGAAACTCCGTGCTGTGACCACGCCCTGTTTGCCCGAGTCCAACATGACGGACGATGAACTTGCAAAAGTTGGAGAGTTGAGTTCAATCTCATCTCGTATCGTCATGAGATGCCTTTGGCTTTCGAGATTAGCAAGACCTGACATTGCATTTGCCGTGCAACGACTTGCAAGTCGTGCCACAAAATGGACACGCTGGGAAGATGGACAAACCCATGGTCTTATCAGCTACTTACATGTGACATCCGAGCATGTCATGAAGTTGACTGTTGATCCCAATGAACGTCCTTCCTTGTCTGTATATACTGATTCAGACTTTGCATCATGCCCACACACCGCAAAGAGCACATCAGGCATTGTCTATGTAATAATCTTTGGCCAATCAAGCTTTCCTGTCATGCGGCAAAGCAAGAAACAAAGCTCAACAGCTCAAAGCACGACAGGCCGAGTTCATTGCATGCGCCGTTGCATTGTTTGGGGAAACCCTGAACTTGCATTCTCTGATTGAGGCATTAGTCGAAATCAGAGTGCCTATAATTTTCAAGCGAGATAACCAGACCACCATCACTGTCATCCGTTCCGGATACAGTGCAAAACTTCGATCGGCAAATCGTGTACACAGAGTCAATCTGGCCTCAGTACACGAACAGCTCGAGGGTGGTGTGTTTGACATGGAATACTGTAACACAGAGCTCCAACTTGCAAATGCACTGACCAAAGTGGTTGCCCCGCAACATTGGTCAGAAGCCTTGGCACAGTTGCGCGTCCAGCTTTGAATGCAAAATTGCGTGACTACATGTCCGCCAGGAATCGAAGGAGCGAAGCTCCCCCAATGTAGAGACATACCAACTTGTACAGTATGTGGGGGGACATGAGAAAACCCACATGAAATCAACATCCTTCCAGGTTGGTATTGTCATGCTCATTTTGCCATTCGGCTACTTACATTTGGCTCAAGCACTGTGGCAAAACATCGCTGCTGCCGCTGCTTGAGGGTTCGCCTTAAATCCCCTAATCCGGCTGTGTTAGGGTGATTTAGCTACAATAATTAATAATTTGTGGCATTTGTTCGCATGTTGTTTTATGGAAGTATGATTGGGATAAAGAAGCAGCATAAGATGATGGGTGCGTTTGAACATGATTTTCCTCCAGTGGTTTGAAGTCATTCTTATACGGACAAGTGATGATTAACCAGTGGATTTAAGGATATGTTGTCAGACAAACCAAAATGATGATCGATATTTGGGGGAATGACCATGTCATAAGTTTGTTTTCTACACCATGTCATTTGGCTACTGCGGAATATTGTATTTTTGTTGGGGGCCTTTGATCAAATCCAGAACCATCACAAGTGATAAACATTGGGAGATTCATCACTACTCATGCGGATTTCCCTGGAATGAATGGTATCTTGCTGTGGGTTGTATTCATCAAGATTCTGGATAGTGGAATCACCCCACAAACCAAACGCGATTCTTATGCAAGCATAGCACGGGAGTGTGGAAGATATGTTTGGCTTTGATTCGTTCATGCGTGGGATTTGCTTCCAGTTTCCAGAAGGGATCGCTTCCGATGAATCTAGAAGTGAATGGTAACTTGTTGTTATTTCAACTTTTAAACCTTTCAAATCTGAGTTCACCATGACGATCGGTTCATGGCAATGGTTTCCAACCCAATCACCAGCCGTTTCCCAACTTGGTGAAGGCGACCCTAGGTGCCCCAAAGGTCCCCTCACGACGAAATTGCCCAGAGCTCACTTGGTGTTTTGAAAAGGCTTCAACGCACCACTAAAAAGCGACACATCCCAGTGTAATTTCCAATTTTCGGGTGGTTTCTGGCAGGTTTTATTGATGTTTCTCCATGCTGGGTGGTCCTAATCTGATCCCCATCAGGAAGTTCTCAGCCGAGGTGCGAATACTGCCACCTTCCCCATAGCATTATGGAGATAACGAACGCACAACGTCCTGGAAAGAGAGATCGACAGAGGATCAAAGCTAGACGCATGGCGCAAGAAGTTTGCGGCTGCTAAACCCCTGTTGGTTGATGATTAGCCGATTTTACTCCTCAATATGTTGAGGATTACCCTAATCCATCCTAATCCACTATGGGCACCCCTAGTAACCAACCAGTAGAAAGGGATGATAGAGGGTTTTGAACACTACTCACATGTTCTTTTCACGAAAGGTAGCCTAGGCTACCTGAGTTACATGTACTTCAGTACTTAAAATGTATTGGTGGGGGCCCGTGGCTTCTTTCATTCGAATGAATAGAATCTGCACTTCATGGGGGGAGGGGCTGAAGAGGGGCAATAGCGTCCTTCAAGGATCAGCTAGAGCGTCTTCCCAGGCTGCAAGCACTAGTTTTCCTCTGTAGGCCAATAGCCAGTCAGCGCAGCGCCTAGTGTACAAGCTATACCTCTAAATCTCCGTCTTGAGCCTTGACAGCGTATATAAACTGTGCTCAGTAGTCCTGCTATGCCCTGATAGGGTTCAATTCAAAATAAAAACACAGGCACAAATTCAAAGGCAATGAGTTGAGCATTACGCTTTGTCGTACCCAATTGAGAGTAAGAGTTCTAGGAGGTAAACTAGATCACACGTTGGCTAATCAGCAAAAATAGCGGAGAGCGCGCAGAGGAGTCTGCTCAAAAATGACGGAGTGCGCATGAAGTCATATGTGGCAAAAATATCCTAAAGATATGCCGAAATAAAAAGAGTCTGCTCTCGAATAAATTTTCGGCAATGGTGCGCAACGCACTGTCGATCACAGCAAAATGCTCTATCAGTGAAAATGTCTACTTGGGTGCAAGATTCAGAATTTCAGGTCAGACGAAAAACAATTGACCAAAACACGAAATACACGGCTGAAAAATCGGATCTTCAAAGTCACTCATTCAAGTGAACAATGATCGACTGGTTCAGATTCCTCTCTGTTTTGAGAGCCTTCTGATAGCAAACCATGAACAGATTCTGATGCTGGGTCAAAATCAGCCTTTCTCACCAAAGAAGTTTCAAAAACAACTTCCATAGTTGATTGAAATCTCTTGACCCATGAACTGCCAGGCTGTGTTTCTGCTGTTGTTTGGAATGTCTCCTCCTTCTGCAAAGCCAGCACCTTTCTCCTTCTTGACATGTTCAAAGGTAACATGACCAAGTTCCTCCAGTGACTGGTGATGGCAACATGTGTCCTCTGCCAGGTCTCAAGACACTCATGGCCACTGTGGGCAACTGTTCCACCATCTTGAGAAACTGTGGTGGCACGCTACCATAAAACAACACAACTCCATTGCTCGACAAAAATAGCTGTTGAGTCACAAAGAAGTCAGGCAGTAACACAAAATACACAAGCTGTTTGTAATGACGAGGTGGTTTTGTACCTACTGCCATTCTGATGTAACCTGGTGCATTGTCGTTGTGGTACATGAATGTTCAGGAACATGAGTAGTACTGGCAGTAGCCACAAGATTGATGGCATCATTCCTCATATGAATCTCACTTGAAAGTCCAGTGATGTCCTTGATGAGCTCTCTTAACATCTGACAAGTTCCATAACACTTCATCAGCGCATACTACTCAGCAACTGTGGTACTCAAGGTAGTTCTTTTGATCTTGGTGGGTTCAAAGAAAATCAAAGAGCCTTTAATGTTTTTATTTTTAAATACTCTTTTCTTTTCTGGGTTCAACCATGAAAATAACCATACCTCGTTGTGAGGATGTGTCACTGTTGTTTCTGAACTGCATCACGCATAGCAACTAACCTAGGATCACCTTGAAGTGGCCAGAACATAAGTTCCATTGAATCACCTACGATTTGCCTGCAGGGTTTGTTCAAAGCCTTGCAATCACCGATGGTGGGTGCAGCAGAAGCAGAACGTGAAAACTGATAACATGACTGAAATTGGGTCCTTGCTTGCAACCAATTGATACTACCTAAGGGTGACCTGCATGCAGTGTGGAGATCTTTGTCACATTTGTCTGCATGCTTCAAACCTTTAGGTATGACAACCTCAGTAAGTTCACTGACACACAAAGACTGTTCGACAGTGATGTGAGATTTTCTCTCGGTCTTCTCATCAATGATCCATTTGACACGTTGACCTGCGAACATCAAGTCACTCACATCTTCATGACCAATCTTGAATTGTGTCTTGGCAACCTTCTTGAACTTCTCCAGAAACTCTGGAGTTCCTGCAATAAACAAGTCATCAACATGAAGACAACACATGCCAATTGGTTTTCTTCCTTTGGCATTGCTGCCATTCACAGGGTCCATGAAGTGTTCCAAAAGTTCTTCAACAATCTCAGGCGGCAACTGTGGTGTCGTGGCAAGGTATGTACGTTCTGAAGGTAAGAAGACTGAAACAAGAACTTCAGCTTCTTCTTCCAAACTTGTGGGCATGAGTTCTTTGTTCATGTCACTCAAGCAACCACCAAACTCCTCTTCTCTTCACAAGTGAAGTCCTCAAGTGGAACTTTTTTCTGTCATAATATGGATCAGGAGTTCTCAGTGATTTAGCACGATAAGCCACTTGAGCATTACCATTTTCAAAAGGATACCAAACAGACTTGTGTTCAACAGATTCCAAAAACTTCAACCCGGTTTCATCAACAGCAGGAGTCCATGCACAATCTTCAACCTTCTTCTCCTTTTACTGGTTCGTCTGTTTCCAAGTTTGGGTGTTTTGATAACAAGCTGGAAACCATCTTTCTTCAGCCAAAAGAGACTTATGAACTTCCTCGGCAATGTCCCGCGTTTCCTCACCTTCTTGCGAGCATACGCCATAGTAGGTCATATGTGCAGGTGCTGTTGCCTCAGGGTCAGCAAAGCTGACTTGTTTGGGCTCCTTAAAAGCACCTTCATGACACACATATGTGCATCTGCCCGCTGTTGTTGGTTGAATGCCAAGCCAAATCAAAATATTCCACCACCTACGTCCATAGACGGAACGAGTGCATAGACCAACCAAGTAAGGAGGTAAACCAATGTCAGTAGGCAACTGAACATGGATAACGCGGCGATCTAAGTCGTACGTTACCCCCTGCAGGGTTTTCAAGTCTAAATAGAGTAAATCCCAGCACATCGGGGCGGCATGCTGAGATGCCACACGAAATCGATACCTGGTAGCAGTAGGGCTGTCAGTCTGTAAGTCATATTTTTGGGCATCTTGAAAGCCTCTGCATACCCATCTAGCCTTGAACTTCTTGAACTGCCCATCCTTACCAACCTTGATGGTTAGCACCCATCTTCCGGTGACATAGTTGTCAATCTTTTGAGGTCTCTTGTCACAAAAAAACATAGCAGTGAAGTTAAGAAAGCTTCTGAATTCTTCAAGCTTGGCTTGTTTGATCTCCTTAGCATACTTCTTCAAAACATCTTGCGTGATAACTGATTCAGCCTTTGGCTGCTTGTTATCATTCCTGGCAAGATACTGTTCAAATTGATTGAAACCAGTAACATCATATGAGCCAAACTCAGAAGCATCTTGAAGTTTGGGTCCTAAAGGAACAAAAACAGTATCGTCAATATCGACAAAATGAGAGTGGTCTTCTTCCTGAAGCTGAGCTATCTCTTCCTCAGTTAAAACAGGAGTCTCATCAGTGTCGTATGATTCTGTTTCATCATCGTTTTGTGAGAATACCAGTTCTGGCGCTCCTTGCTGCGCATGCTCACCTGGCACAGGTGATGTGGGTGTAGCCCTCGGCAAAGGAATGGAGTGATCCTTGAACTAGAGGCTTGAGGGTCATGTGAAGGTCCTTCATCTTCTTCATCATACTTAGGAGTAGGAACTGACATTGGTTGTACATGACCACATGACCTGGTAATTGAACATTTGCCCTCTTGATAATCACCTTAGCCTTTGCCTTTGGTAAAGCATCAGTCGAATCAACAGAAATCTGTCTCCGTTTCCTTTGCACTCTAATAGGTTCAGCGGTTGGATCAGGTCCTGGTGAAGGATCATCATCTTGACCAGGATCATCAATTTCTTCACTTGGAACGTCGGGATTAGAAAACGGATTTGATGGTGAACTTGGGTCATGTGGCTCTCCTAAGTCCTGAATTCTTGAAGTGTGCAATGAATGAACACAAACCTGATGGCAAAATCTTCCATTGTGGATCTGTCCAGAGTTTCCCTTTTGTACCAATGGCACACTGTAGCTCCATCAATTCAAAATCATCTTCATAGCTGTAGTAAACACCCCTTGTGAAGGATCACATCGACAGTGGTTGGTCATGCCAATGAAGAGACAACCAAGATGCATTTTGATTCTGCTCTTTTGATGTTTCTTAAAAGCCAAGAACTGAGCAGATTCTGAATCAGGTGGAGTGATCACAAGAAAACATGTTCCTCGATCAAGTTGCCATTTCATTACATCAAGGCAAAACTTGTAAACCGAGTACTTCAAAGAATTTGGCGGAGGATTTGTGAACAACGCATACTCAGGATCAAGCTTCTCAAGTTGTTTCCACACTTGATACTGTTTGGTTTTGCTGTTGAAGCTCCAACCATGTTTGTGATCAAGAGGTTCACCAACCGTCATGTTCACTCTTGACATATGCCAACTAAGACCTGTGTTCTGTTCAGTAGTCTTTTGTACTGAGATGCATCACCTTCTAATCTGTTCCTCAATGCACGTCCACGTTTTTCAGGTTCCAACTCTGTGATGTCACGCCAATCATCAGTTGCATATTCAAAAGCAAAGAAACGGGTCCTTCCATATGCAGGAGCAACCTTCGTGGTCATCTGCTGGGTCATATGAATTGCTGGTTGTTGGGGTGCTCTTCTCATTGCATAAGAGTCATATTGGTTCCATGAACCAACTGCACCCATGGTTTGCCATTATTGAGCGCTACCTGGAGCTCACCTGCAATGCAGGATGACAGCTCCGCTGCCACTTGAAGAGGGGCAATAGCGTCCTTCAAGGATCAGCGAGCGTCTTCCCAGGCTGCAAGCACTAGTTTTCTTCTGTTGGCCAATAGCCAGTCAGTGCAGCGCCTA